TCTAACACTATTTATCATTATAACTCAATTATTGGGTATACAGTGTTATAGATGCACATCTATGAAGTTCAAAATAAAATAAACTTTCTTGATATTTTTTCCTTGCTCTTTCTGCATTATATAATAGAGACAATTGGCTATCTAACCAAAAAAAATTATAATTAAAAAGTAAAGAAAATTAGCATGTGTGGCAAAACATAAACCTTTAGATCTAGGTTAATTTGTTAGAATTTTAGTTATAGTTTTTTGTGTTATTCATGCTAATTTCTCTATATAATAATGAAAATGATCTTTTTATGTGTGTGAATGACATAAAATCAGAATCTACTAAACAAAATTCACCTTTATTGCTTTTGTGAGCTTCAAGCTTTCTCTACTTTTAAAGGAAACGTCTATGTGTTGTGTATCATCATCGGCCTCTTATTTGTTTTCCTTACTTCCTAAGTATTTGAATTTTTTTTTGTTAGACAACTTGGTGTACAAAAAAAATAAATAACTAAAAGTTTTAATAACAAAATTATACATTTAACAACTCACGATGGAAAATAAGTGAAAAGAGGGAAAACAAATAGGGTTAAACGCAAAAAAATTCTCTTGTTTTGGTTAAAACTTAGAACCATTAGTTTCATAAAATATTAAACAAAGTAGAACTACTATGGATCCGCTTGATACATTTTAGTTTTGGTTTGAAGTCCATTTTTAATCAAAGTATATATAATAACTATATAAGATAAAATCAAGTTTTCATTAAGTTGTTCGCTATTCATACATGTTGGAATTCAATTTTTGTTTCTCAGATACAAGAAAACAAGTCTAGTTAACCTAAATTAAAGGTTGCATGGTTACGAAAAACTCAACTTATCTATCTAGCTAAGTGAATTCCCTAAGGTCTAATAAACTCAAATACTGCAAAGTGGGAATATTATATATCATATGATTGATTGATTTGTTTAAGATATGACCACATGTGCTAAAAAATGGCTGCTGATGAAAATTAACCGGAAATAAATAATGATATTGATACATTTTCAAAACAATTATACAGAAGACAGTGTCCTCTCATGCAAAAAGTAGTTAAAACTGTACTGACCAATATGTCGAAAATTGCAAATTTAATTACAATAAAAATAATATTCCTATATAGTGATCACTCGAAGAA